GTCCAGATAAAATTGCAATTGGATTTGAAAACGATGATGCTGCATCTGTTACTATTAAAGATCAGATTGAGAAAGCAAATTTTAAATTGAAGAGACATGGCCTACTCCAAAATCAGAAACATACGATAAAGTTTGACCAACATACCGTGCAGCTGATGAAAACAGAATTGACAAATGATATAATTGATTCTTATTTTGAGCGGAAAAGTTATCGACAGTTTTTGAATGGCGAAGAAGACCACAAGATTACACAATCGGAAATACAACTTTTGTTGAAATCAGTATATTCGACAATAGCAATTAGCGACTCAACTATTGTGAGTAATACTTTTGTTCCTAAACAGCTCAACCTAGAAAATTTAAGCAAGTTTTTATCCTACCTCGTACCTATATATGTATCAAGTGATCAACCATTGCCTAAATATCGTTATGCATCGGCAGGTAGTTTATATCCAGTTCAAGTTTATATCAATATTCCAAAATTCAGTAGTGATCAAATACAATCTGGTCTATACTATCATCATCCTGATGAGCATAAACTCCTAAAAATTGAAGCAGAGAACGCTTACATTGACGAAGGGGTTAAATCAACTCAAAATCTTTTTCAGATATATCTAGTAGGGAGGTTTAGTGCCATAGCACCAAGAAACGGACCTGTGTTAGCAAAAGAATTTTGCTTGCTAGAAACCGGATATATTTACGGTATGTTAAAGAAATTTGGTTTTAATGAACTTGGATGGAGAATGAAACTACTAACAACAGCAATTGAAAGTAGTGAGCAAGAGTATATCATAAGAAACAGCTTACAGGTGATCGAGATGGATACGTTCTGTTCGTTTTCAGTTGAATTAACATTACCCACTATTCAATCCACCATACCACTGAGAGTTGCTGATATTGATACTACCACCTCTAGTAACAATAGCAATAGTAGAACTAATATTTGGTTATATTTCAAAGCAACAAAAGATTGGTTTGTGTATAATAAGCAAACTGAAACACTAGAATCTTACTCTCCTCAATTTATTTATAACCAACTCGAATCTATGGAACTTGGACACAATGGTACGATTTTGAATGATTGCTCTGTAGCTATATTTTTTACTGGAAGTACTACGACGACAGTCGAACGCGAGATGTTAATTGAAGCCGGTAAATTATCTCAATTGTTGATGGATGAAGGAATCAAAACAACATATGATATTGGTATCTGTCCAATTGGAACTGGTTATTTTATAGAGCATGTTAATAAATCGTTTTCATTATTGACGCCACCATTATCGCTACAACAGCAGCAAGAGCCACAACAAGTTCTACATACACTTTTACTTGGTAGAGTAAGCATGAAACAGAAATATGATCGTAATCCATCGGAAATAAACAGGCTGAAGGAAAGACAACTCCTGCATAAATATCTATCAGCATTTTTACCTGATTACATGATACCGAAACACTTTCTTCTAATTGAAATAGCGCCATTGAATCCAAATGGAAAAGTGGATCGTAAACAACTGGCTGAGATATTTAAAAGTCAATATACAGAGAACAAGGGTTCAGCTCATGATGAACAGGAACAATTCATGGAACCAAGAACACTTTTAGAAAGAAAAGTGTATCAGATTTGGCAAGGTGTGCTAAGTTTGAATCATGGTCAGAAAATAGCCATGAACACTGATTTCTATCAGCTAGGTGGAAACAGTCTATTGATGATCAAACTTAATAACACATATCGAGAAGAATTTTCGGGAATAGATAGTAATAAAATGAATCTTCCAGAATTGTTGAAACATTCAACAATTGTTGACCATATATTTCTTATTCAGCAGGCGCTGACACAGAAACACATAGTAGACAATGAGAAAAGCAACATTGACACATCTTTATGGAAACTGTTACAGTTAACAGAAGGTAAGTTGAACATAGTAGTTGTATATTGTCACCATAAAATTATTCGAAACTATTTTTGTCTCTTTGATTGGGTTTTGTTATAGGGCCTGCATCGTTTGCTCAGGAGCGAATTTGGTATGACACTAAAATTCGATTCAATGAAGAGGATTATCAAACTGCAATATATAATGAACTACTTGTGATACAAGTAGAAACAGGCAATGTCTCAATTAATCGTTTAAAATGTGCAATTAATGAAGTAATTCGCAAACATACTGTATTACGGACGGCGATCATGTATGATCCTAACGAAGAACGCTTGAAACAGTACATTAAACCGATGCCGTCTCTACCAACAACATCTACTGATTTATTTTCATTTGATGTGACGCATACTTCATCAGATGAAAAAGAAATCAATCACATTTTGGCAGAAGAGCAAACAAATATTTCATCACTCAGCGTACTCGATGGTATTCTTTTACGCTGCCATCTCATTCGAGTACACGAGAACTCATCGGCTTTCAAAAATGAACCAAATGTTGAATCCATTTCAGATATCTTGAGAATAAACGATATAATTCTATTTATTTTTCATCATGTAGCTTTTGATGCTAGCTCAGCTGAAATATTCTTAAACGATCTTTATCTAGCCTATGAATTAGATGGTCAGTATCTCTCTCCTCTGGCTCTACAATATATTGATTTTTCGCAATATGAACGTGATCTTGACATGTCTGTTTCAAAAGATTATTGGAGAAGACAGATGTTAAATATTAAAAACATAAATCCAATTGAATTACCTTATGATCACAAGCATGAACTTCAGCGAACCCGAACCGGCAAAGGTTCTTCTGTTCAAATCAATCTGCAATCAACATTAATTAATCAAATGTTGCGCTATGCTGAAGAAAGAAAAGTAACACTGTTTCAACTTATTCTAGCCATTTACTACGCTTATCTATCGAAATTAATCGGTGCCAATCACATTTGTGTGGGTGGAGTTACTGCAAATCGTTATAAACCTGAATTACAGTCATTGATAGGAATGTTTGTTAATACAATACCATATTGTTTAAAATTTGAGCCATCTTCGATGTCATTTGATAACCTGCTCAGTGAAGTACAACAATTGTGTTTTGATACAATACCACATACACATTTTCCTTACCAAGAAATCAGCCGTTTATATAGCCAACAACAAACAGAAGATAAACAAAGCAATACACTAAATGAATTGATACAATCATTTCTTCAAGTTGAACATGCAGGCATACCGAAACACCAAAATGGTGCTTGGTGGACGAGCAAATCGATACAAACAGAAGCTTTGAAAGGAAAAGAGATAGCAACTGCAGTAACCAAATTCAATTTAAATTTGAGAGCGGAATACAATGCTACAAAACATCTTTCGATGAACTTTCTGTATTCTACAGACTTGTTCGAACACAGTACAATACAAATTATGTCTGAACGTTTTCATTTGCTCATACAACAGTTATTTTCTACTACATTCAATAGAGAAAAACAGCCAATCTGTGAATTATCAATCCTCTTACCAAATGAAATAAAAATGTTAAAAGAATTAAATGATACACATGTCAATTTAAGTGGCCGTAATCTAAAACCAATAAACGAGCAATTCTTTGATCGTACTAATGAATATTTGCAAAAGCTTGCCGTTATCTTGGATGAGCAGTCTCTTACATATGGAGAAATTTTGTACTTTGTACAACAGCTGTCCTCGTATCTTATCGTTGAATGCGATGTGAAAGTTGGAGATATAATCTGTCAATGTGTTGAAAGATCGATTGAAATGGTTCTTGGTATTCTATCCATCCTAGTGTGTGGAGCTATCTACTGTCCGCTGAATCCACAGGATCCTATAAACCGTGTTTCCCTGCTAATGAACGAAGTAGAAGCTAAATTATTACTTTTACATCAGAAAACAAGCGATTTATTTGTTAACTCTGATCAGCAATGTATTACTTTACTCAATATAGAAACTATTATTTCAGAACAACATATGCAACACTTTGAATCGTACGCTCATATTATACCACAAGTGAACGTAACAATGTCGAATATTGCGTATATTATTTTTACGTCAGGCTCAACAGGAGTTCCAAAACCGGTAAGAAAGAAACAAAGAGAGAGACGAAGTCCTAGGTCGAAAAGTACGGGCCGGTTCCGGCAGTAAAACACCGGAAATAGCCAGAACATGGAAGCAGTATTCCGGCCGAAAATTTTTGAAATTTTTTCCGATGATTTTCCGGTCGGTTCCTGCCGGGAAACACAGGAAATTGATCGGAATTCACCGGAAAAACCCGGAAAATTTCCGGCAGGAATACTGCTTCCATGTTTCGGCTATTTTCCGTGTTTTCCTGCAGGATACGGTGGTTTTTCCGGCATTTTCCTGCCGGTTCCTGCAGGATACGGTAGCCGGAACGATCTACCTGGGGTACTACACAATTTTCTTTCAGTGGTAGTATCTATGCTCATTTCCACTAAATTATTTTTATAATCCAATAGCCAACAGTAAAAAAGATTGAAAAGGGACAGACCAAATTTTCAATGATTTTGAAAAGATATTATTGAAATCAACTAAAAAGTATCTAGTATCTGCTGCAGAATGAAAGAGGGGTGTGTATAAGCGCAATATCTCGAGAATGTCAATAGTTAGCGAGCTTTGGTTTTCATCCGTTGAAAGAAGGAAATTCAGAATAGTGTTTTTATTGATCATACAAGAAGGAAATTCTTTGAAAACTAATCACCCTCGACAACGGTACAAAAGAATAGATGGAAATGAGTTTCCATTTCAGTAAAATTTTGGTTTTGACCTATGATTTAGATAAAAGGACTTGAGATCTATATAGTTCGAGAAAAAAAAATGCAAATTGCTCTCTTATCATATGCTAGGGTTGAATAAATGGAATCGTGTATTTATCTACACAAATAATACGGAGTTTTTGCTGATTGTTTACTAAGTTTTAATGCTTTTTATCATGATCACTTGAAATTTCAATGAATATTTAATGAAAAGTGAGAAAATGTTTTTTTTTCTTGAATTATACACATCTCAATTCTTTCTATATAAATCGAATGTCAAAATCAAAATTTCACTTAGCTGGCAGCTCACTTTCATGCACTATTTTGTATGCTTGCCGAAGATGATTAGTTGTAAAAGAATTTCCTTCTATGTATGATCAGAAAAAAGATACCTCGGCTTCTCCACTTTCAACAGATGGAAGCCGCAGGTCACTAACTTGTAATTATCGAGATATTGCGTTTACACGCATTGTTCTTTCATTCTGGCGCCGACCTTAGTTTCACTCATGCTTATTCTATGATCCAATTTACAAGAGAATACAAGTTTAATGTCTCTAATATTTTCAGGTGCTTATTAGCCACGGGAACTTTGTAACTGCAATGGAATCCTTCACTCAAGCTAATCTTATATCCAGTACTGACTGTGTTTTGCAAGTAGCTGCATCATCATTCGATGCGCACGATTTCGAACTAATTGGCCCTCTCAGTCTCGGTGGCAGCTTAATCATGTTAAGACCAAATGGTACAAGAGACATAAATTATTTTGTCGAAACAATACAGAGACACAATGCCACATTTCTATTGCTGGTTCCCAGCTTTATATCACTGATACATGAACATTACATGAATAACAAAAATGATGCACAAGCCAATTGTCGATTTGGAAGTATACGTACTCTTGTTGCAGGAGGTGAGTTATTCTCTTTTTTCATGAATATTTTAGAAAAAAATCAAGAATCGATTTATTTTGACAAAATCACTCTATATAGCAATATACATACTTTTATGTTTGATGATATAAACGTTGATGTATACATGGGTTTCTATATACTTTAATATCTTCTTTTTTTATCTTACTTAAAATAATATCTTTCTGATATATTCCTATATCTAACTATAATGCTACCATCACAATCTAAACCCCCTCTAATACACCTTGATGTCAATAACATAGAAACAGCTAGATAATATGAATAAGTGGACAACTAGACAACGGTATTATTAGCTTCAAAAGATCTGCATGGAAATTTTTAGGAACGTAATCATAAACTCAAATTTCTTGACTCTGAAAACATTTGTTGAAGTTTCATTTATATGTGTTGTTTCATAATGGCAGGTAGAACAGAACATGGAATCGAACGAACGAAGATAACTCGTTCTCCACAATAATACCCACCTTCCAGTAGAGGGAACAAAATCCATTACTTTGAATGCTCATTATTTTTCATATAGATCACTCTAATCAATAATGAATGGACAATCAATTGAAGACGCGGTCTCTGTCGTTTAATAAAACAAACAAAAAATATCGAATTTCAGTATAAAAATTATTTTGCGTTTCTCTTACAACGTGATTTTGTATTTTGACATTTTACCACGTCTCAGACTTCTTGACCAATTTCATCGCTCGAAAGTTTAGCTCAGTGTTAAAATGGGGAGCAAACTCAGCTCTACAACTTAACAGAACTCAGTTTTTCTATTTTTCTTCCCATGATCATAAAATCCAGACAGTATCTTCTACGGCTACTAGGTTTCTGTGTGGTTGTTTTAGAACAATTCTTGCAATGTGAGAATGAAAAGCAACCAGAAAAACTAAACCTGTTAGTTTTTAATGGTACATGTTATTTATGTTTTAAAACTAGCGCAAAACTTCCTACATTTGTATTGAAGGAGAAATTTGGGTAGCACATACACCTAAACTCTAGCCCATAATCTGACGAAAACTCACCATAGATCTGATCGATCGAGGTAAATTTTTTTCTAAGTTGTCTAACCTGAGATACACATACAATGAGAATTTCATGAAGACTAGATGATTAAAAAAAATCTCGTTAGAGAGGAACGTCCTTAAATTGTATCTAAAAATATTTAGTCAAGCATACTAACAGAGTTTCCAATCATATAATTCAATCGTTCAAGCAAAATATAACTAAAAGAATGCATTCATGGTCGAATCTGAGCTTATGTTTCATATTATATTTCGATTAAGACTTGTCTGGTCTAACCCAACCTATCTCACTATAGCATGTCACGTAGATCATTTGGAAGTGTTTAGTTTTCAACTTAAGATCATTTTTTGGTCAGAATCACATATAATCGTTCTGTCTAATCTTTCTCGAAAAAAAAACGAGGTTATATGCACATAGGAATATGAAACACTGACGGGATGATGGCGTTAGGAGTCAAAGTAGATCTCAGATTAGTTCTAGTTGAGCACTTCCTTATGATTTTGACCAGAAATGTTAAACTGGCATGAACTACAAAAACCACTCGACGCTCATCCCTCTACAGGCTATTTTTCAAAATATAGCTGTTCGGAAAATGGCTCACCTTCTCATTAGGGAAAGACGAAAGACAAAGTAATCACTTGAATGATTTGTATTGTTTTTTGTGTTTTAACAGGTGATGTGGTGCTATCGAAACATGTTGAACAATTATATGATATGATACCTTTGAAGAGCAACATCTACGATCTTTATGGTCCTGCTGAATGCACAATAGCTGCTTTATTTCATAAAGTAGAAACAGATTCGAGAATATCATCAAGAATGATTGCTGACAGTTGCGTGCCACTTGGGAAAACATTGCTAAATAGACGTGCCTATATCTTAGACGAATATTTGCAAAGTACTGGGGTAAATCAAATAGGTGAACTTTACCTTGGGGGCACTGGTGTATTTCAAGGATATTTGAATCGTCCTGATTTAACTGAAAAAGTTCTAGTCGAATTACCTTCATATATTACCAGTGATAAAAGGAAGTATTATAAAACTGGAGACTTGGTCAAATTGAATGCTGAAGGCCAAATTGTTTTCGTTGGCAGAAAAGATTTCCAAATAAAATTAAGAGGCCAACGAATCGAAACCGGTAGACATATTTTCTTTTGCTTAAATTAGTAAAGCTTGATTAAAATCTTTCGTTTTCTTGTGCTATATAGGTGAAATCGAGAGTGTCATTTTAAAATGCTCTTTATCAATGACAACTATACAAAACTGTCTGGTAACAAAAATGAGAGACCATATGCGAGAGCAAGATTATCTTGTAGCATACGTCCAGTATAGTCAGTTAGACAAGCAACATGATAAAGATAGAAAAAAAGAAATTGAAAACCGAATCAAAGACCATTGCCAAGAACGTTTACCTCAGTATATGATTCCATCGTTTTTTATTCTTTTGACTCAATTTCCATTGAATCTCAATGGTAAAGTTGAGCGTAAACGGTTACCGTTACCTGATTTTTCTACTCTAATTAATACTCTTGGAGAAAATCAAATCGAACCGAAAACAGAACTAGAACATCATGTACATAATATATGGTGCAGCGTTTTAAAACAAGAGAAACTGTCCATGAACGCAAATTTGTTTGCTTTGGGTGGTAATAGTCTAATTATGATCCAGCTTCTAAATCGTTATCGAACCGCATTTGGTTCTAGCATTGGAGACTTGAACATCTCCCAGTTGTTCAAGCGGCCTACTCTTCATGAACATGTAAATATGCTTTCCTTATCAACTACCATCACCACCATAAGTGACCTTAGTAAAAGTGATTTGAAACGAGCTATTCTCATACAAATTCAACCATCATTGGAAAGTGATCGGCACAAACCATTTCCAGTAACGGAACTTCAACAAGCATATTTAATTGGACGAAGTAATTATTTTGAACTCGGTATGGTTTCCGTCTATAGCTACCGTGAATTTGACTGTATCCCAGGACTATTTGATATAAAAAGATTTGAAGAAGCAATTAATAAAGTTATTCAACGGCATGAGGCGTTGAGAATACAATTCCTTGACGAAACACAGCAACAGATCTTAAAAAATGTTCCATACTATGAAATAAAAGTCTTGGATTTATGTAATCAAGTAACCGACCAATCATTAATCCAACAGGCACTGATTGATCGTAGAAAACAATTATCACATAGAATTTTACCCATCGATGAATGGCCACTATTCGACATTCAACTAACACGATGGTCACGACATGGCTTAAGGTTACACCTCGGCATAGATGGAATTATTCTTGATGCCTTAAGCATGACTATCTTCTGGCATGAATTACTCCAATTTTACACTCATCCAGAATTAAAATTAAATGATCTTGAGCTCTCAATTCGTGACTACATACTAGGTCTCAAATTAATTCAAGAATTGCCAATTTATACAGAGGATGAATCTTATTGGATCGAACGCTTACCTATGTTTCCATTGAATGGACCTGATTTGCCATTAGCACACTCACCTAAGGGAATTAAAGTACAGAAGTTTCAGCGGGTTACATCTAATTTCGAAACACAATTGTGGCAATTATTACAAAAATCACTTCAATCATTAAAAATTACTCCGGTTAGTCTGCTAGTTACTCTGTACGCTCATGTTTTGAGCAAGTGGAGCAATCAGCAACATTTTGTAATAAACTTACCATTATTCAATAGACTGCCACTCCATTCTCAGACTAATGAGATTTTGGGAGAATTTACATCTATTTTACCCTTAGAAATTGATTTTCAATCATCGTCCACGCTAGCAATCGGTACAAGTTTCGGAGAAAGTGTTCAATGTATACAAGATCGTCTATGGCACTATTTAGATCATTCCACATATAGCGGATTAAAATTCTTTCGAGAACTATCCAAAAGAAGAGCGGAAGGAAATGTTATTATCTATCCAGTAGTTTTTACTAGTGTACTTGGTATGGAAAAGGCTCTTATCGAGACTAGTAGGCCAATCGCAGACGCAGAGTATCTAGGAAGACACTTAGGTGGGGAACCAGTGTATGCTATAACACAAACACCGCAAGTTTGGATTGACTATAAAAGTTATGAAAATGATAATGGTGAACTCATTATTGAATGGGATTATGTATCCGATTTATTTCCTCAAAATATGGTTGAATCAATGCATGGAACTTATTGTCATTGGTTAAAAGAACTTGCTGATAGATTTGATGAAATTTGGCAAAAGCCTTTAAGTTTTAGATTACCAGAAAAACAATTACAACGAAGAAATAAGTACGAACAAGAAACTACCTATCAATTGTTGTCTGAAGATGTACAAAACCAATTATTACACACAATGATTCTCGAGAAAGCAAAGACAAGGTCACCTGAAGCATTAGCAGTCTTATCTACACGTGGTAATTTAACGTATGAACAGTTAATCAGTAGATCTATTGTTCTGAGACACACCATAATGGAAACAATAAAACATAACACAGAAGCACAGAAACCTTCGTTGTGCGCAATTCTAATGGAAAAAGGATGGGAACAAGTTGTTGCATGTCTCGGTAGTTTAATGGCTGGACAAGCTTTTCTACCTTTGGACATTGAATCGCCAGCTGAACGTCTGATAGGATTGATCAAAGAAGCAGAATGCCAAATAATCTTAACTCAACAAGACCATTTCGATCTCGCTAAAAAACTATGTTCTTCTGCTAAAATCATTGCTGTTGATAACAATGAAGAAATTGAGAATGTTACTTACGCATTTCAGCTAGCAGATCAAAGACAACAATCCACTAATTTAGCCTACGTTATCTACACTTCTGGAAGTACCGGTAAACCAAAAGGAGTAGCAATTAGTCATGAAGCAGTTCTCAATACTCTATTAGATATCAATAATCGATTCAACATTACCTACAATGATCGAATATTTGCTCTATCTCATCTAAACTTTGATCTAGCTATCTATGATATTTTTGGAATGTTAATTGCTGGTGGTACAATTGTAATTCCAAGTCAGAAAGATTATAAAAATCCGGAAAAATGGCACATGATGATAGTTGAACATCAAATCACAATATGGAATAGTGTACCAATGCTAATGCAAATGTACGTCGAATATTTAGAAGGACTGTCAACTTCAACATCAAATGGTAGTATTGATTCCGTTCATACTCTACAACATGTTCTCCTTAGTGGTGACCGTATACCACTTAGTCTTCCAGCAGAGATTTACAAAATCTTTGGCCAAACATTAGAATTAACAAGTCTTGGTGGAGCAACAGAAGCATCGATTTGGTCTATTGCACACTCAATTAGTCGTACAATTAATGTTGAAAATAAAAGTACTATTCCATATGGGAAACCATTGAGAAATCAACAGTACTATGTACTTGATTCACAATTAGATCCATGTCCAGACTATGTTTGCGGTGAATTGTATATAGGGGGTAAAGGTCTAGCTCTAGGTTACTACAAAGATGAAGAGAAGACGAAGCAAAGTTTTTTTCAACATCCAAGAACCGGGGAACGTCTCTATAGAACAGGTGACCTCGGACGATTTATACCTACAGATGATGACAACGGTAGTGGATATATCGAATTTTTGGGACGTCAAGATTTTCAAGTAAAACTACATGGTCATCGAATTGAACTCGGTGAAATTGAGTATCATTTAAATCAGCATCCATCGATACAGCAAGCAATTGCCGATTTAGTTTCCAGTGGCAGCAATGTTCAAAAACAGAATGCCATGCAATTAGTTGCTTATATTGTTCCTAAACGTCCATATAAAATTGCTATTGGATTTGAAAACGATGATGCTGCATCTGTTACTATTAAAGATCAGATTGAGAAAGCAAATTTTAAATTGAAGAGACATGGCCTACTCCAAAATCAGAAGCAGACGATTATGTTCGATCAGCATAAAATACAGCTGATTAAAATGCCATTGACCAATGACCTCATCAATTCCTATTTTGAGCGGAAAAGTTATCGACAGTTTTTAAAGGACGAAGAGGATCGAAAGGTCACAAAGTCAGAGATACAAGATTTATTGAATTCAGTATATTCGATGATAAAAATTAGTGATTCAACTGTTATGGATAGTACTTCTATTGCTAAACAGTTCAACCTAGAAAACTTAAGCAAATTTTTATCGTATCTCATGCCTATCTCTGTATCGAACGATCAACCACTACCAAAATATCGTTATGCATCGGCTGGTAGTTTGTATCCAGTTCAAGTCTATGTTAATATTCTGCAATTCAATTGTGATCAAATACAAGATGGTCTCTATTACTATCATCCTGATCAGCATACCCTTTTGAAAATCCAAACAAACAACGCTGACCATGACGACGAAACAAAATCAGCTCAAAATGTTTTTCAGATATATCTGGTCGGACGATTTAGTGCCATAGCAGCAATGTATGGAAGTGTGTTGGCGAAAGAATTTTGTTTACTAGAGACCGGCTATATCTACGGTCTGTTAAAGAAATTTGCTTTAAGTGAACTTGGATGGCACATAAAATTATTAACAACAACAATCGAAACAAGTCAACAGCAGCATATCATGAGAAATAGTTTAAAGTTAACAGAGAGGGATACATTCTGTTCGTTTTCAGTCGAATTAACATCATCTATTGTTCAATCCATCATACCACTAGCAGGTGTTAACATTGACATTGCCAATTCAAGTTACAATAACAACAACTTGACTAATATTTGGTTATATTTCAAAGCAACAAAAGAATGGTTTCTGTATAATAAACAAACTCAAACTCTAGAATCCTGTCCTCAGCAATTTATTTGTAACCAACTCGAAGATATGGAACTCGGACACAATGGTACGATTTTGAACGATTGTTCTGTAGCTATATTTTTTACTGGAAGTATTATGACGGTAGTCGAACCAGAAATGATAATTGAAGCCGGTATGTTATCTCACTTGCTGATGGACGAAGGAATTAAAACAACATATGATATCGGTATGTGTCCAATTGAAACTGGTAATTTTGTAGAGTATGTTAACAAGTCTCTTTTGTTATTAACTTTATCATCATCACAGCAACAACAACACCAATCACAACAAGTTCTACATACACTTTTACTGGGCAGAGTGAGCGTGAAACAGAAATATGACCGTAGTCCATCTGAAATTAACAGGCTAAAAGAGCAACAACTCTTGAATAAATATCTATCAACATCTTTACCTGAATATATGATACCGAAATATTTTCTTCTCATTGAAACAGCACCATTGAATCCAAATGGAAAAGTGGATCGTAAAGAGCTGGCTAATATTTTCGAGTCGTCGAAGGCGCTGTTATTTGAGAATGTTAAATCAGTTAGTAGTTGTAGCTCTCTGATGATTACACCAACGGAACAAGTGTTGTGGAAGATTTTCGTCGATACTTTTGGCGTCAGTTCTGTAGAGGTATCCGTTGGTATAGACGTTCCATTTCACGAACTGGGTGCATCTTCTTTACAGTTAATGAAAGCAGTAACTTTGATTCGGGAGCGGCTGGATGCAGAATTGGATTTGCAGTCGTTACTCTCGAATACCACGGTGCGAAAATTAGCTGTAATGTTGGATCATCGAAGGGAGAATAGGGTAGTAACGGACACTAAGAAAACTGAAATTTCGGTTAACAATATAGATGCTGAGTCGCCACAGTTGGAATCGTCACTTATCATAGAGTCGCTTGGGATTTTTTTATTAATATTCACTTATTTATTACCCATCGTGTGTGTAAAACAATTTGGTCTTTGTACCGTCTCGACTATACTTAACGTTATGATGTTCGTCATTGTAATTCCTGCACTGCATTTGTTGCAATACGTCATTGTTAAAAAGGTATTGTTTGGTGTTGTTATGGTGAAGGAAGGTGAATATCGACTGTTTTCTTGGGCCTACTATCGCTGCTGGTTTTTGAATCGTCTGTGGTCTTTGAACACACACTATTTACAACTGCTCTTAGGTACACCTTTCTACAATTCGTATTTGAGACTTTGTGGTGCTCGTATAGGGCGAAATTGTCATGTGTTAACAGCTTTAATTGACTTACCGGATTTAATTGAGATTGATGATAATGTCATTATTCAAAAAGACGTAGTACTGTCCAACTTAACGTATCAAAAGAACACTTTTCAGATAAATAGAATTAAAATCGCTACTAGCTGTACTATCGATTCACGATGCGTTTTATATGGCAATGTTCACGTATTGAATAATGTATTGATTAAATCAATGTCTGCTGTGACGAAACACATTCCAGCAAATAGTATTGTTGATGGGCAAATAGTGTCCCCAAACTGTGCTTTTGCTGATGAAGATTCAATCAAGTGTCAGTTGAAAGACTTTGGTTTTCATGACATGTTCTTTCAATTTACTTGTATTGCATTCGTGCTCATTGCACAGATATTGTCGATATTTATCGCTTACCAAACCTCAGTCTTTGGCTTTATTGGCACTGCCTTCAGTCCTCTTATTTATGTAATTGCTTCATCGTGTTTTGCCATCATCTTTCTTTTCGTTCTAATTGGAAATTTAGAAGCAGGCACTTACAAACTAAATACGTTTGCCTATTTACATAAAATATGGCTCCGTGGTTTAGTCACAAATACATTTCATCAGTCACTTTCATTTTTGCCTGAAACGTTCCAGCACTATTTTGGCGCTATTATTGGAGAAAACGTAAAAATTGGTGCACAAGACGTTCTCATTGGTTTACCAGGCTCACCTAATCTCTTACAAATTGATGATAATGTAACGATTAATTGTAGAAATTCGCTGTACCCTATGGAAATGACAAATAGTCAAGAATGTTTGATTAACAGAATACATATCAGTAAAAATTGTTTCATTGCCAACGTGGTGAACGTACATCAAGGCGTGACAATCCACCCTGGAACAACAATCGGTAGCATGACACGAATCACATCAGAAACCATCAAAAGTGATGAAAATAATCAGTTCTTTTTGGGTGTGCCGGCACAAAAAGTTGATTTGAAATCTCTAGCTGATGGCTTTACGTCACCGTCGCCATCTGTGTCGCCTAGTACATTTTCAAGATATCGCATTCTTCTCAAAACAAGTATTCCTTCATTATTGAAATGCTGTCTTTCCCTATTAACTATCGGCTTCATCCTTTCTGTTGGTCTTCAATTACTAGCAATGACCAGCACATTATGTTTAGTGATGTCATTTATTAGTTTCTGCGCTATATTACCTCTAACGATTGAAAAGTTACGCATTTTATCTACAACAACGGTCGACACTACCGAGGAATACATCTATCAAAAACGATACAGCCTTTTACCCGACTCAACTGTGATGCCGAATATCTATCCGTTAACTGTGATTGTTGTTGATCACTTATTTGGCGGCACTCAATGGCTCATCATTTTTCTTCGTTTGATGGGCGCCAAAATCGGAAAAAATGCAATTATAAACGATCTCTCTACAATATTAGATCCTCAATTGACTCAAATTGGTAATGATGTTCGAATTGATTCGAAAGTATTTATTCCAGTAAGTTTCTTCGTAGCTTGTCATAGAACTAAATCATATTTTTTACTGCTTTTCAGGCACATACGTACGAAAAACGTAAATTTCAGCTATTACCTGTCACAATTGGTTCAAACACAATTTTGATGTCACGCAGTCTCATTCAACTTGGATCTCAACTAGGTGGTAATAACTGTCTGTTTCCTTTAACATTCATAATGAAAAATGATCATTTGCCAAAGAACACCCAATGGATTGGATCACCTGCTAATTTAATGGGATGATCACAAGTCGTCATTTTCAAAAATTTCTTGCACAAAGATTTATAACAGACCGAATAAGATTAAGTGCATTGCCAAAACTGCGATGCTTCCGATTTTATTTTTATTTTTTATAGCCCACAATAAACGCCCATATGTAAAAGACAATGC